ATTTGGAATAGGATGATAATGAATTATTGAAAGAAGAGATAGAGAATGTGAACAAATTCAATAATTCTTCAAGTCAGCAGAACAGTGATGATGTGAAATTCATACCAAAAGTATCGGAAGAAACCATGGAGAAGAGAGTATGTTATTAATTTTATATAGAAAAAAAGAGTGAATAAACTTTATTACTTTGATAGAAAGAGGAATGACAATTATAATATCATGGAGGATACTAACAGGGACATTGATTATTGTAATAAACAGAATGAAATGAAAAGGAAGAAACAAGAGATGGAAGAGAAACAGTCGAAACTAAACAAAAAAAGAAAATGAATTTATATAATTTCAATAAATGCATACTTTAAATATTAAATGAAAATATTGTCCAAAGGTTGTGAAATAGTGGCAGTCCAAAATGAGACTATACACTCAATCAAGAGTGAACACTATCTACAAAATGAGGATGTTGAATTGTACATATTTTAAGATGAAAGTGTCAAATCCATAGAATACATACATTACAAAGATATTCTCAAGAAAGGTAACCCTAATTACATTCTAGGAATCAAAAAAATCAGTGGATCAGGAGGTTTAGAAATAGTTATTACGAATTGCATCGATCCCAACCCAATAATTATGGAATAAAATGACTAAGAATTTAATTGCCAAGCAGTTAGAAAATGGTTAAACTTTAAGTCATAGAATTAGTTTCATTAATTCAATTAACTCTACAGAACCCTTAAAGATGTATGATCTCCCTACCATCACTTAGCTCTAAAATGCATAAACTACAGCCATTCGAGTCAAATAACATGATACACTAGGTGTCCTTCACAGTTGCGTGGATCTCTCACGCCTTACTGATAGGAATGACAGTCTCAAAGAATTAGAATAGTAGTATGTCTAAGGTCAAATGAAATGGGCATAAATTGATATGGAAAATGCTGAACTGGCCACTAAAATTCAGTAATTGCAACATGAATTGTAACAAAGAAAGCAAGAAATCAATAAACTTAAATTCTAATATGATAATAATGCTTATTAATTAATACAATCCAAACAATAGTTAGAAGACGTCATGAATTAGCCTCTTGAAATAATGGATTCCTAAATTTTAGCAATACTTGGATTATGAAAAATTATATATAATTATAATTATAACTAAAGAATGAAAAGAATGCAACTATAATGATACCTTTTAAAATCAGAAAAGTTATAATCCTTTTCCAAAATTTGGATGGCTCAAACTAAAATTCTGTCTATTTTCTTGTTCTTATATCCCAAAATAGTTACTATTTGAAACTATTATAAATTTTGAACATATTAGACTAGCCAGCACACTAATTTAATTAATATTGAATTTATTTTAATTACGCTAAACCTTTAAGATAAACTGTTTATTCGCCTTCTAAATTAAATTATGTGAAAAGTGCAATTAATTTAATATTACAAATTAAATTCTAATAATAATTATTAATCTTTTTAGTAAAGCACTTATCATTCGATTTTTAACAAATCAAATCCAAATAACCAGCTATTACAATTATATTTTTATTGGATCACATATTTTAAAGATTCCTGATGATGTCAATTTTTTATACCAAACTGTGAATTTATGCACCCTAATATAAATCTTATGAGAATGCTTAGTAAGGAATATAATTAAGCATTTCGATTAATTTTGGGTAGAATATCCACTCTAATTATTAAAATGTGGGAGTAAATCTTTGAATTAGATAATTTATTATTAATTTAATTATATCCACTACTTTGGATGATAAGATATATTTATTGATTATAAGTTTAGAATATTTAAATAATTTTAAGAAATCTGAAAATGGGGTGTCAAAGCACAAAATTAAAAAAGCATCCGCCTTTCATTAATACCAGCCCTGAATTGATGAATGAATGCACCATCAGCTGGAGTAAAAAATTCACAAAATCTAAGACTAATTTCGATACAAAGTAAGAGAAGCAGATTTATTGTCTTGAGAAAAATCCAATACTTTTAAGAAGACAAATACGAAAGCCTCTGTCTATAGGATGATTATTTTATAATTATATTCTTTCTTTGATAAATCCATTGAAATTTACTGTTTCATTTTTGTCTTCTCAACACTTAAAAACCAGCACTTCTAGAATACTCACAATTCTACCATGTTCTTAAAGTGATATGTGAAAACTGGTATTGACTCTTTTAACTGTATTTTATAAAACCTTGTATACATTGATTACGCTCTTTGTTGTTATTAGTACTTTGAAAATTGGAAGTGGGATTTCTTATTAATATTGGCAGTTTAATTGTAGATACATTATAACTCTTCGTAGTTAGAACAAAGGATTAAGAGAGAGAGAAGACAAAGTGGATAATCAAAAGGTTTTGAGATTTATTTTCTATATAACTAATATTATAGATATAAAAATTAATTACGACATGTTTGATAGTTAAAATAGTACTTCGGCAAAACTGACAGAACAAATCAAATAGCAATAAAGTTATAAGATCAGAGAGTTTGAATGGTTTGAAGTGGAGACCAAAATTAGATTGTTCGTTTAGAAATTAATGGAACCAACTTTAAAATAAATGCATGAAGATCGAATGATCGTGGATGAGTTACAATAAAATCTAAAGACCAATAACAAGGAGGTTACGTATTTAAGAGACATCGTCCTAAATCAGGGAGCTGGCATACCCATCTTTGAGGAGTTCAAATAAAGATTCTTAGATTTAGAAATGAAACTAGATCAATAAAAGCGAGAATCGATTGATTAATTTGGCAACTTCAAACAATGTCTTGATAGCACTGATAATGAGATTTAAAAATTTTTATAGTCTGTTAGAACTCTTGAGTATTTCAAAATCAAACTAGAATAAGATCTTCAGGATATTCAAATAAAAAATGATAATTTCAAATCAAGTGTTGAATAAATCATTAAGCAATTGTCTTCAGACTTAACAGAAAGTACAAAAAATTGGAAACTCACTGCTATTGAAATTGAACAATCATTTGGCAAAGTTGATAATAAACATTCCGATCTAATCAATATAGTTAAACAAGAATAAGTTAAATTAAAACAGATCTAGGATTCCATTCTAGAGATCAATAAAAAATAAACCCAAAACATGAACACTTTCGAAGTGATAGACACACGATTAATTAAAGCAGATGTGTAGATTACAACGTTGAAAAAACAAATTCTAGAAGTAGACCAATTGATCAACAAAAATAAATAAGTCTAAATGTTTCTTATCTATTATTTGCCTATGTATATGCAAGCACAGATCAGCGATTCGTTATTCACTTGTTTGCCATTAAAGCTGTTTTACAAATTTGCTTAATTCGAAAAACAGAAATTTGATTATTTAGACAAATAATTATTAGAGTATAGTGGCGATCCGAATATTCAAATACTTATAGATGAGTACAGCAAAACATTGGCAGAAGTCATGAAGAGGAACTCAAGAATCAGTCAAATGATATTTATGAATTAGAAAAAAGAATAAAAGGACTCACATTCTTCAGATTCTGATATAGATAGCGATAATAGAAGTTAAAGAACAAACGTTCAAAATAGTATCTAAATTAGATAGGATTCCACAAACAATCATAGAAAAGAGAGTATCTATTCTAAGGATGTCATCCAATAGTAAGCCATCATGCAACAATAGAAAAAAAACTCTGGTTAATCCAATAATTCCAATCTAATATATTACGAAGATCAAATCAAATAAATAAAAGACTAATTTTAATCCGAAATTGAGGAACTAAAATAATTCAATATTTATGTCAAAAAACAACTAGTCTAAAGTCAGAAGGAAACTAACGATTAAATATCCCTTAATATCTCACAATGCCAAAGTAACAATTAAAAACTACTAAATTCTACTACTAATTAAATTAAAAATTTAGAAGAAAACCTTAAGAAAGCATTAAGCCAAGACAACTCAAATCCAAATGACCTCGTCTTTGAGCAAGTCAAATAATTTAAAAAAACCTTATAAACAATACTTCATTTCTTAGTCCTTATAACACATTTGTTAATTCAGGACGAGATTGACAGATAAGGGATTTAACTTATGGGAGCGAAGGACACTTAAATTGATGGAGGACTTGTTTATACTGGCTAAAATAAGAAAGGACCATCCATATAACTAAATGGTGAATGCCTTTCTTGTTCAGGCCAATCTATTTAATTATTGCAATGCTTTAAATTAGCGTGCTTAGCGTATCACCCATCTGATATATTGGTTGATGGAAAGTCATTTAAAAGAGATTAATTATTAGAAATGTGCACTACTTTATTGAGATAGGCTAAATAAGAATTTTTAGATTAAGAGCAGAACACATCATAGCCTAATACTTAGCCTACAGCCTCTAGATAACGAAGCTCCTCAATTCCTATATCACCTGGTCGACTTAATTCGAATTTTAAATTTAATAAAACTAGAAAATTAGCCCCAATGACCAACATATAAAATTTGTGAATTTTACATTTTTTTAACTTGCCTTCTAATATAAATGGTTTTTTCATCAAATTATTAAATAACTCGATTTTACTTTGATTATTTTTATTACTGCTAGTTTTAACTTTTCAAGTTTTCCTAATTCACAATTTAGAATTTTCATTGAACGCAAGAATTTCTGTCCTAAACTGATTTTCAATATTTTTGAAGACTACATTTATAAAATTTTATATTCATCAAATTTCTTCTAATTAGGAATATTTGCTATTACATACAATGAACCATGATATCTGAAAAAATTAACTAAATCAGGGGTAGACACAAATATATCTCATTAATTGCTTGATCAAAACCAAAGTTAAAGGTATCGAAACTTAAATAGGATACAGGGTTTATCTATATTAATATTAGGGGGTCTTAATCATTTTTAACTAGCATAAAGAATAAGAATTTAAGGTTGTGCAAATATCATAACTTGAATTATGTAAAAATAATATAAAATGTAAAAATTATATTGAATCATCTTTAAAATATTTATTCATATCAAATCATTTATCAATTTTAGAATATTTATTGTAAATAATAGATTGACTTTTTCTTAAACATCTGATAGTATAAATTTTGATACTGCTGATAATTGATAAGTATTAAAATCTTGATTTTTAGGATTTATCCAATAAGTGTTCTAAAAATATTTAATGTATGGAGATTGAAATATTGAACTTATAATTTCATCTTGAAGTTATTTAATGTCCTCTTGAGTAATGTCAAATTTATATTCCTTTTCTTTCTCTTTTAATTCTTATTGAATAAAAGTCAAGACTTATTTTTAAATTTAATCTTTCAACATCCTTTAATTTTTGTAAATTTCATCATGCTATTTTTAAGCCTTCTAGAAATAATCAAACTTAATTTTTGAGTAAGATTCCAAATGTTAACTCATCATAGGTATTGCTTCTGATAACAAATATTCAATAGTAACTTAACCATATTAACTTCCAAATGATAAAATTGATGTTAAATCTTCATTAACTTTCGGAATTGATTTTTGCCTCTTAGATCCAACATAATCATTACAATAATCATCAATATCCAAAAGTTAAAAACAGTTTTTCTTTATATCCTCTTAATAATTGAATTACTTCATTTTATCTTAAATACAAGTAATAATATTAATATTATTTGAATTTGACTAACATAAACCCATTATCGGTTTTACTATTTGATCATATATTTCTTTCCTTTTGTTTTCATTAGTCCATTTTAATTAAATTGAATTAAAACAACGATTAAAGATAATTTATATTATTTCTTTAACTTTAATAGATGCTTTTTATGCAGGGTATTTAGATTAATAAAATGGACATTAATATCCTGTAAAATGGATTGAATATTACAAATATTGATAAATAAGACTTGGATGTTAACTATTTTTACGTAAATGAAGCCAAATTCTAGTTAAATCAAGATAATCATGATCAATTCCTTGAGATTCAATCAAATTTGTTTAATACAATAAAAGAAGCATTAGATGCAATAATTATCCTAAATGAATACGAACAAAGCCTGATTCCTATTAAAATAATCAAATGAATATCAAATACAATCCAAAATATCAAATCTCTTAATCGAATAAATTCTCTGCGATTTATTTTATAAGTGATTGAATTATTACTTTCATCTAAATTAACTTCTCCTATTGAGTCAAACTCTAAAACCTTTTCTAATAATTCTTTGTTTTCATAACTATACACCTCTTCACAATCATAAAAAAGATTTATCATCTATTATTATTTTTATTTCTATTATTTACTAATATTATAGGATTTCAATAATTAATTACGGAACTTTGAGCTAAGCATATTCTTAACTTTACCATTATATTAAAAAAGTAGAATTATCAAGTAATTTTTTGAAATTTCTAACCAATATAAGGCTTGCAGATCACATAATTTGTTTTCAATAAATAAGTTAAATTCAGAAGTACTTTTTCCATTATTATTGAAAATATACTGTCATGAATCTAAAATGATAAGCCTATTATATTATAGTTATGAGAATCTAAAAGAATTGTAAGAAATTATAAAGGTTGATGGGATTGGAATAATGAATATTGATGAAGATGAATAGATAATCGAATATTAGATTGATTGATCGAAATGTGTTAGATAAAGTGATCTCATATATATGATTGTAATCTCTATAATAATACATTATTAGACTTAAAACTTTCTTAGATTTCATTTAGGATAACTCTTAGACTTATTCCAAAAATTATTAAAGAAAGTCATATTACTCAAAATAAATATTACAGTAAAAAAAATTGTAAATTTCGTTGTTCACTTTTTAAATTGCGATTGGATAATACTTGCTCTCCATTTCACTATCAAATTTTGTTGATTCTCTAGAGAAATCAAATTTAGTTTTTTATCTGCAATTTCTACTCAATAATAATTGGGAAATTGTTTGATAATGTGCTTCTCTAGATGGATTTATATAACTAAATCTTGAAATTATAATGATATTATGAGAAAGTTAAGGTGTTATTAAGCGAATTACATTTTTGAGAAGTTCTATGAAGCAAATTTAGTAATTGCATTCCTAGCTGAAAATTTACTTATATACAACAAAATTCCTGGCTCGTATTGTTGTTAGATTTGAGTATATTTTATATATTTACTTTCCTCACAAGCTCTTAAATAAATACATTATAATCAGTATTATATGGAGAGTTGATATGAGATTTTCTTCTGTATTCATGAACGGACTATTTTTGACTCCTCTTTTTTCTTCTATTTTAATTTTTCTTCCATTCTCTCTTTTCTGAATTCATCAAGAATAAGCTTTCTGATAATTTTATTCAAATCCTCAATTATTATATTTTTAAAGTTTTTCATTGAGAATACTATTTTATAAAGTGAGATTAGCACACAACTGTAATTGATTATCCTTAGCCTTGAAGTTATTTTATATAATAACGAAATGCTCCTTCCTATTAATCTTCTGTTCTGTATTAATAATAACGATAAATCTTGCTCATTCATCTCTTCCCTCAAGATCAAGATGAAAATTTTAATGATTTTTAAGATTTATTCTAGTTCAATTGACATGTAGGCCAAAGAGTGCATTTATAAGGCTTTTAACGGTTATTCCTTATTGGCACCGCTGAAAGGTACTACTGTCTTTCATCTCATTAGACCAGCAATAAATTGAAAACCCTTTTTAGCTGTAAAATACAAAAATTGAGAATAATGATAAAAATCTGAGTTAGCAAGAAATTAGAAAAAAACAATTATTACATTACCTAACTGTTAATAAATATTTTAAGATTTATCATCTAATATTATTTCTATGAAATTAGGATAAAATTTATAAGGATATGAGCATGTGAACAAAACTTAAAAGAATTTTTGTACATTTTCTATTCTTCACAAAAACTAATAATATTCTCTAAATGATTATGTTTAACACTATTTTATAATTTTGATTTTGTCAATTAAAAATTTATCAATTTTAATAATAAGAAGGAGTAGAAAGACAAACTATTCTTTATGACTATTAAAATATTCAAATTAAATCATTAATCAATATTAATATATGAAGTTATATGAGTCTTCCAACTTCTTCATTCGCTATTTTTTAAATAAATTAACGTTGCAAACTAAGTTCACGTTCTAACAAATTCTCCTAACTTATTTCTAAATGATAATGTGGGGAATTATAAAAATATTACATCAATTTCAGATTTAGAATTCTCTCTAATACACCATCATATAATTCTTGTTTTTCTTCTTATGAAAATTCAAATTTATAATATTCCAACATTTTTTTTAAAGCCTTATCAACAGCTTATTAAATATCCTTTTGTAAGTGATTCTTTTGTATAATTTAATTTTCTTCTTAAATTTATTTTACAATCTTAAAATACTCATTATTCTTATCTACTTTATTGAATTTGCATTTAGGATTATCAAGAGGAGCTGCCATGTTTTATATCTAAGTCAAAATTATAAATTCCAAGGTAAATGAAGTCTCTTGTTTTAAAGCGTAAATATAATCCTTCAACTATTACTAAATTTGGTCTATATGTTATTTTCTTACGAGATCAACTTTTGAATTCTCTAATTAAATGTCCCATGAAATAGTTTATTATTCTTTTTAAAATTCAAAATCAGCTTGAATATAATTTATTACTGATTAAGTATTTTTAATATCATGTTTATCACAAGCTTAGATAATTGGATCATAAATCTGTTGTTTAATCTCATTTTATTTGGAATCATTAAAGAATATATTATTTTTCTTGAAATTGTTCAAAATGACTTTTATAATTTTTTAGATTTAATAATCTGCTGATATGATGTTTGATCCTTTTTCATAGAATTAACATTGATATCCTGTAAATGCAATTTTATAATCAATTGTAGTATAAACAATGCTTAAAGGTGGAGATTAATTTTCAAATACCAACCATATTCTATTTGTATCTAAGTATGAATGCTCAATATGATTAATTTAAAATAACATGACTTTCTTTAATAATTTTTGGAATAAGTCTAAGAGTTATCCTAAATGAAATCTAAGAAAGTTTTAAGTCTAATAATGTATTATGATAGAGATTACAATCATATATATGAGATCACTTAATCTAACACATTTCGATCGATCAATCTAATATTCGATTATCTATTCATCTTCATCAATATCCATTATTCCAATCCCATCAACCTTTATAATCTCTTACAATTCTTTTAGATTCTCATAACTATAATATTAATAACTCTGATATTGCATTCCAATCATATCCTTTTTTTATAATTTCTATTAATTTTTTCAATATATATAATTTGAATTTATAAAGAAAAAGAATGTAAATTATGTATGTGCTTAATGATGTAAATAATTAATCATTGTACTAGCATTAAGATAGCCAAGATCACAAATGACCAGATGTATCCATTGTTGCTTTCGCATTCTGCTTATCCGATAGTTCCGCAATCTGGTTTATTGTATGCTTTGGCTTCTTCAGCGGTTGGGCATGAAGAGTTGGCATCCTTCTTAATGCATTCTAGAGTAGTTGAACCAACAGCTTTAGCAGAGGAGACTTCAGTTCCATCGGTGGTTGTAGTATCTTATAAAAATCTGAATCTACGAGCAGCAGTTGGATCTTCAAGCTTACCATTGACTGAGAATTCAACATTATTGGCAAGAATGTCAACATTTAATGTATAAATGGTTTATCCAGCTTGTTTATCTTGAGAAGCAGGTTTCAATTTCTTGTTGACTCCATCACCAGTGATAGTAACATCAGCATCTCCGACTTTCCACTTTTCAAATCCAGTTTATTTGACTCTTTGGACAACATAGAAGTTTTATCCTGCATAGACTTATGGTTAATCAACGAGAGTTTAACAGGTTTAGTCACTGCAAAATCCTACTTCAGTCTCAGCTCTTGAAACACAATTATCTTCAGTAGCACAAGCAGGAGTATCATCTTAAGCATCAGATGTGGCTTAAGCTGTTAAAACATTACCATCTAAGTCGACTGCTACAAAGAATGTAAAGAAGAATTGAGCTAATTTCTTTTCTTAGATTGTTAGTTTAACTGAATAGTAACCAGTATAAACTATCTTATCTGTTTATTCATCTTTGAATAATTTGCTATCAAGATCTGCATTCAAGATTGTGAATTCCCAAATTCTCAATTATTTATCATCATCATAACTGCTTGTAACAGTTGAATCATCTAATGTTTCACTTAAGAAACTTGGTCTATATCTGTAAATTGCTCTTTCAACGCAAGCATTTGCATTTCCATCTGATTTAACAAGTGCCTTGTCTTTGTTATCAGGGAATGCTAATTATACAACAACATCTTTATTGTCATTGAAGTCAGCTTTTCCATCAACTTTAATTGGAAGCTTCTTCTTTCCTCCTTGCTCTTTGCTTTGAACTTTGTCCAAATTTTCACATGTTTAGGCAACACATCTATCTTTGAACACAATTTCATTATCAGCACAAGTGACTTCGACTTCAACACATTATTCTTGTTGCTCTGAGTCTTAATTCCATTATCCTTTTGATTAAGGAGGTCCTTAAGGTCCTTATCCTTGTCCTTATCCTTGTCCTTATCCTTATCCTTATCCTTATCCTTATCCTTATCCTTATCCCTGTCCTTATCCTTAACCTTAACCTTAACCTTGTCCTTATCCTTAACCTTGTCCTTATCCTTAACCTTGTCCTTAACCTTGTCCTTAACCTTGTCCTTAACCTTGTCCTTAACCTTGTCCTTAACCTTGGCCTTAACCTTATCCTTGACCCATTTATCCTTATCCTTGACCCATTTATCCTTATCCTTATCCAGTTTATCCTTATCCTTGACCCATTTATCCTTATCCAGATTATCCTTATTAACCGCCTTATTATCCACCTGGTTATTGAGCTCCACCTTGTTATTGTGTTCCACTTGGTTGTTATGGTTGGGTTCCACCTTGCTATTAGGTACCACTTGGTTGGGTTCCACCTTGTTATTAGGTACCACTTGGTTGGGTTCCAGATGGTTGTTAAGTACCACTTGGTTGGGTTCCAGATGGTTATTAAGTACCACTTGGTGGTTGTTATTAGGTTGTTCCTGATGGTGGAAGTTGATTTCCAGGGAGGGTTTATGAGCTTGGTTATTACTGTCCTGATTATTAACCCTATTATTATCCTTATTATTGTCCTTATCGTTATCCTTATTGTGATTGTGTTGGTTAGCATTTCTTGGCTTTTCCTCCAGTTTGTGGGCCACCTTATTATCCACCTTATTATCCACCTTATTATCCACCTTATTATCCACCTTATTATCCACCTTGTTAACCGCCTTGTTAACCGCCTTGTTAGCCGCCTTGTTGGCCACCTTATTGACCACCTTGTTACATACCGCCTTGTTGTTAGCCACCTAAAAATGATAAGATATAATTAGATACCGGGTGTATTTTATTATCCTTATTGGCCAGTAGGGGTACCTTATGTGGGATTAGAGCTTCCAGAGCCGCCTAAAATAATATTAGTTTAAGGGTCTTACTTTGGCCACCTGTTGGAGCACCTTAAGTAAGTTGTGTGAACACTGAAGAGACAATGCAAAGGAGTAGTAAAATTTTGATGATTTTCATTTCAAGTAAATTAATTATGTTTTTTTCATTCTTAATTAACGGGGTTATGAACCCCTGACGGTATATTATTGAGTTTAATTATTGAAATAAGAGTTTATTTATGTAATGCGAAGATACAATTCCAGAATTTTTTAATCTAAAGTTAATTAAGGCTCCAAGATCCTTTGTTATTGTGTTTGGGGCTCTAAGCTTAAATAAAGTCAAAGTTTGTTCATAAAAGAAAATTTAAGCAATGGGTCTAAAAATTTCAATTTCTCCAATCTCACCAAATGGACTGTTCTAATAATGGAATTCTGCAGTTATAGGATCTGCTGAGCCTCTTGCCATTGGATTGAATAGGATAAAGTGAAAGGACAACTTTCTTTTAAGATCAGGTTGATGCCCGATGTAATTGATGTTATAAAATTATACTAATAAATATTGTAGAATAGATGGTTACATGCAAATGTAGAAATTCGTAATTCAGTAAAACATTTACCAACATTCAGAATGTAGCTCTCTTTAAAATTGATGGACTTTAAGAAAAAAATGGAAAAACTTGTTGTGAATATTTCCAGGATTTCTTAAAACAAACTTAGATATAATTTCATCCTTATCACTTTCTGCTATGGAGTGCAAGTTTTTAGGATCTAGGGTTTTGGAGCTTTCATCTGAAAAGTTAATAAGAAATCTTGGATTGTATTTTTTTTTGGTATTGGAAAAAAACACTGGTTAGACATATATGATGATGAATAAATAGAGGATATCAAAAGTGCTGTTATTGTTGTGTAAATGATTGTTAGACTGATTGATTATTGGACTAGACAAAGCGAGACTGGTAAAATTACGATCTATATGGTCTATCGCCTTCGTAATATTTCAAGCGTTCATCCTGGATCTCTATTCTTTATTGCATCAGTTTTAATTTTTCTTGTTGCTCTCTGAGTTATTTTTGGAGCTCCTATTTTTCAATTATGGTTGACATGAAGTCTGACTGGGTTTTTTGGATGATGGCATTCAGTTGGAGCATTTGCTAATTTTGAATGTTGTTTTCCTTCTCCTCAGGCACATAAACAAAGGATTCATCCTGTCCAGACTTCTTTGGAGCCAATTTCCTTTCATTCTTTAGGTGTTGACGGTATAATCGCCTTATCATGTCGGAATAAAAGACTTCTTAGCTCTCATCTCTGGCCATTTCTTGAGGCAAGAGTTGACTCAATCTTTGTTGAATAATGATACTGGAACTGCCATTACCAAAGGTTCTAAATCAAAATTTGAACATACTATTATAAATCCAATTTAACAGCTCTTCGTAATTCCTGAATAATCTTCATTGGTACCATACATTCTGGCAAATGACGTTTAATTAATAGCTTGTTGAAGTACAGGATCTTATTGAATCTTACTCCCAAAATGCATAACTTTTCTAGTGTTATTCTATAGCAGGACACCTTAAGACAGTCTGGATCCATGGGAAACCATTTGGCCCAAACCCATATGCATTCCAAAACCAAATGCAACAATGTATTTCCGAGTTTTGCTGTGTAGGGATCAGGCTCTTTACTAAAGTAGAATTGGCCTCTATCATGGGCTTCGCTTTTATATTCAAACATGGCCATTGACTCAAAGTACGGCAAGACTTCCAATTAGAATTGACTGATGAAATCATCATTGAATGTCTCCATGCAGTCTTTGCTAAACTAAGGGGGATATGGTTATGATTTTGTACTCTGACAGCTTGGAGCATCATGATTGGATCGGTTTTGGGATCTTTGAGAATGGTGATGAGAAGTGTGATGATATTCTTTAGCACTTGGGTGTCTCCCTACAGGAGTTAATGTCTGATTTCTTGGGTCTTGCCATAATTTTCAAAAGTTTGGAGACTTTTCTTTAATACATAATACTCAGTCATTTTTATAATTAAATGTAATAAAGGATTAGAAATAAGTTTTCCATTTTGAAAACTCTCAAAATTCTTTGGAACAATGTATATGATAAATTGTTTGTGTGTGTTTATGTGAGTGGTGGTGGTATACTACAATTTAGAGATGACATTTAACTATGCAGTTTAATTTATTTGAGGGATATGGGTAAAAGGATATTTTAGGAATTATCGTTGAATTAGAAATAGATTAAATAAATATAAAGGAAATAATAATTAAATCATGAATAACGAGCTTCTGCAATTTTAGTTGATCTTATTATTTTCTTCTGTGATCACTTTATTTTACTTATATGACCGAGAATTGAATAAACAGAAGATTTCACTTTTGTTTTCTATTTGCAACATAAGCATATTTTTGATTGAAATAAGAATGATAGGAAATTTGCGATGTAAATATTTTCAACAAACAATATTAGATTTAACAATAGCAGCTGCACTCTTTTTGGTATTTAGATATTATAGCAAATAACCAACCAAAGCCTACATCCCATAGATAAACATTTTGAATACCCAAGTTTAAGAATGCACGGGCAAAATAGATCAAGAAATGGAACAATAACCTCAATATTTACCAGCCATTCCATCAATTCATGAGAGCAACTCCAGCATGACACCCAAATAGATTCGGCTTTCCAATGACAACATTAATGGACCCCAAAATACGACAGAAAGGGGACAGCAACACATTAAGTAGGATTCTGGTATGAGTTTCTTGGGAGACAACAAAAGATCGTAATATTCTAAAAATTACAGCAATGGTGGAATACCCTAACGACAGCAGAGCAGCTCTCCGAATTAATGTAAGAATGATGTCTTGATTATAATAGCCAATTTTAACGTTATAAAGTTTCAAGATGATTGTGGAGAGATCAAATTTGGCATTCTCAAAACTTTGAAATCAGTAAATTACGATTAACTTGGTAAGGAGATGGAGGGCATCTACCAAAACGACAAAACATTCACCAAGTTAATAAATAATATTGAGAAGAAAGGTGGACCTCGAATGCAGATTCTCTACGAGAGTCAATAACAAACACATCAAGTTTTTGATGATAATTTACGAGGAGGCATTCAACTAGATTACACTAATAACGATTCAATTAAAATTGATGAACCAAAAAAAGTGACATGGAAGAAGATCTGGCGAACATTGTTTTTTCAAATTGTTCTAATTTGTAATTTGTACATAAGCCAACCATGGCAATCAGTCTAAGTCATCCTATTTGCATTTATTTGTTTAAGATAAATATTTGTATTGTCAAAGTTAAAAATAAAAGAATTAGAATTAACACTAGAATTCAGATAGATTTTAATATGGAATTCCCTTGTGTTTTTACCTTTAATTTCTTTATTTATTTTAAACCTTATCGTCTAAAGAATCGCTTTGATAGTAACTACAATTGCTCAATTGATCTCAGCCATGATCACCCTTAAATATTATCAAGCATGTTATGAGTAACTCATTTCTATATACATCTTAGGCACATTCATTTAGTCTCTTTTTATATACTTTTGTTGGCCACTCTACTTTGTTTTATTTGAAGCATTATCTATATAATAATTCTTATAGTTTTATCAAAATTTAATAATTTTACTCTCTTTCTCTTCCTAGTCATAGAACTATCTATAAAATCTCAAAGGTCTTTAGGTTAGAGACTGAAAACACATTAGGGCAAAAGGTCAAACAATATTTAATGTTTTGGTTATTCATAGCTATTGAGTGAAATAAAAACCAATCAAATTAAAAGGAATGACGTTATATAAAAATAAGTATACATTTCAAATTTAATTTAGAGAAAAGAAGAACCACAGGAATTGTAATTTGATGATAAAATTATAAGTTATTAGCTATTAAAAATAGTCATGCGTGATTTTAAATAGAGAAAGGTAAATGGAAGAGCTATTATTTCAAATCACAACATTCATTATTACGAAGAGTGAATCTTCTGATGAAGCTATTTCTGATTATAAATGTGTTAAGATACTTATATTTATAATTATTATTTATCAAAATGGAGACCCAATTGATCGATAAATTAATATAGTTGAATATTGACAATCCCTTATTCCCTTATAAAGAATACCATGGATAGTAGGCATTAATTTTCGGTTGTAGTTATAAGAAGAAAAATAATTTCATTTTAAAAGTATAAATCCCTTAGATTAGGTTATCGGATATGAAAATGAATAAACTATTTAGAAGGAACTTGATATTTATTATCGTTTGAAGCAGGAGTTTAAGGACAATGAGAATTTAGTAGATATTATAGAAATACATCAATTTAAAGACTTGAAGAAAGTCTGCATACTTATGAATGAATGTAATACCAATTTGAAGTTTTATAAAAACTAATTAACTGATCTGAAATCTAGACTGATTTTCTTCATGTAATTTCTGCAAGGTTACAAATCATTATACAATCACTAAGTTATTCATAGAGATATCAAGCCAGAAAATATTCTAATATGTTTTAAGGATAATAAGCCCATATATTAGCTTACCGACTTTGGCGTTTCAAAGCTATGTGAGGAATCAATCAACATTTAAAGCTAAATTGGGACTCAACAATACGCAGCTCCTGAATTGAGTAAAATCTAAAGTCCAGGCTTATTAAAGTTTGATTATGAGAAAGGCTCAAAAATCGATGTCTATTCAGTATTTGATAACCAATATAATAGATTGGATTAGTGTTGTACGAATTGTAATTTGGAAAATTGCCTTTTGAAAAACCTAAAGCTTAGAATCTATTCTTTGATACGACATTGAAAACCAGACTAAAGAGTTAAGTAGATATAAAGTATGATGAAGGATGGTTTGTTGACTTAATTATGCAAATGATTCAAACCAATCCTGACGAAAGAGTTGGATTCAAAAAATTGTATGAATGTTACGACAAAAAACTTGATAAATTTATTTTAAACCTTAAGAAATTAACTGAGGATAACATGATATAGTTCTTGTAAAGCTCATAATTTAATATTATCAACTAAAAGCAACGGGAGAATCAACGCAGAAACAATAGCAGATCTCCAATAAGATTTTTTAATAATAACTAAAATGGATAATAAAATTAGTATCATTTGAATTAGCCATAATTTTTCAATCAGGGTATCCGATAACAATAGTGCCAGACAGATAGGGCTTACAAAAGGTGATACCAATACTAACATATCATCTTATAATAATAATTATTATAAATATTCAACCGATGATTCCCAATTTGTGTTTTGAAATGAATCTATTACTATTTTATCCTTCCAACTAATAAATATTCTGGTCCTACCCCCATGAAAATTAAAGAACAAGGAAGTCATTAAACATATCAGACCTTCATTAGCAAGAAGATCCTTCCCTTATAAAAGAGAAACACAGAAGTAAACCCAAAAATTAATAATAAAAAAGTGTTTATTTTTATTTATATATTGAAATGAGAAATAGATCTCCAAAGCTAAAGGAAAAAGCACTTTATTACTCAAGAGATAATGAACCTATTCCTAAAGCCTTTGTCAAGTTGATTGAAAGACAGAAGGAAAAACAAGATTAAAAGTGGAATCGTTATCAGGATGCTAAATTCTCTACTCCTTAAAATCTATACTCCAGTCCAACCAAGAGACCGATCTTTACTTCCCCCAATAACTTCACTGTTCCTAAACGACTCTTCTTTCCAACTACTCCCTCACATATTTAGAATCTAACTCCCAACAAAATAGAATTCCAAAATTTCGAGGATTCTCATTAATCAGCTAAATTGAGTAATAAAAATGAGATTAAGTCACCAGATTAATCCTAAAACCCGCTTTAAAATGTCAATCAGGAAAATGTTGAAATCTAAATAGCATAAATTAATAACTAAGATGACCAAGCAGATTTCCAGGAAATCAAACAATAAGAAGATGCAAATCCAGAGGAAGTGCAGGCATCACTAAACAATTCTAATTAAATCATTATCCAAGAATAACAGTAATAAATTATGGAAGAACAAAAATTGTAAGAGCCACTTAATTAAATTACTATCGTTAACGAAGAAATCAATAAGCATTCGTAAAGCATCCAGACTAAAATTGCTGAGGTTTAATGTTTGAAGAATGTCCATACGCAATAGTTCATTAAATTGCTCTATTAAATCCATGAAATACTCGGTCAGATAGGAGAATTAAAAGACAAATAAAAAATCACTTTAAAAGCTAAAATTTTATAAGACCTTATTGCATTCTTTGCTACAGTTCTCCCTGAATTAGAATGCAAAATAATTTAAGAACTGGTCCAGACATCCATATCATTAGCAAATAAAAAATTACTAGCACTTTGAAAATTTATATAGATTTTATGTTGTTAAACTTTGAATATCTTATTTTAGTTAAAGATAATATTTCAATTAAAATTAAAATATGTATTCAGTATAATTTTAATACTTGAACAATAATATTATAATTAAATCAGCATGAAGTTGAGAATTTTGATAAATACAAATAAATATTAATTATTCATAAATATGAACTCAAATTTGAACTACAGAATTGAGAAATATCAATTACTTTAATAAAATTATTGAAATATTCTTTATACGTAGTTCCAATTCAAATAAATTTTATTTTCTATTATTTTGGCAATTATCTTGATCTGAAAGTATTAGCAAACATAAAATTATAAACCATTAATGAACAATTATGGTAAATTCTATTTTGCATATCTTAATTTTAGCTTAGCTGCCAAAAGTTGAGCGAAATGAATGATAATCTACTACATATGCATTATAGTTATTCTTCGATATTAATAGTAAGCGGTTTGAGAGGAAAATAATTATAATTTATTATTTTATATTTAATTTTATGTCTGGTAAGGAAGACGAATATGAAAAGTTGCTCTCTGAGTAAAATCTAAAGGATAGATTAGAGGCTCCTCAAACAGAGACAGCAAGATAAAGGAAATGGCGAATAGTAAAAAGAAAGTTTGCTGAAGTTTAAGTGTATGCAAAATAAGGTTTCATAATGGGATCACTGGTTGGAGGTGGATTCGGATTAGTAACTGGATTGTGGGCAGCAGTTCAATATAAAAAATTATCTATGATTCCTATATCAGTAATAGTGAGTGGAGGTAGTTTTGGCTTCATCATGGCTTGTGGAAGTATGATTCGAAGTGACGATCTCATTGCAGGTGAATATCAACAGCATTTCAACTTTAATAATTAGCAAGTTCCAATATCATAGTTCTGGCTGAATAGGAAATATGAATGAATTATGATAAATTGTAAATCAATTTCATCATTTGAAGACTTTAATTTATTATTAATTATGATTACTATTTTCTAATTCATAGTGGATAAAATATGACACTTATTCACCTAGTTCCCTTATATTTGGATGAACCAATGGCTGTTAAAAATGAAGTGTAATTATGTGAGGAAGGATAGGAATGTTCAATCTTTATATATAATTTTTTATTTTTTAAATACGAATCTATAAATTAATTAAGTCATCGGCAATTTCTAATGATGGATTTAATTCCTGTAAAGATTAATTAAATGATTGTGTATGGATATAGGAAGGGAAACAGTAAAATGAATAGCAACAAAGTCGTGTAGAATCTATTCTTACAGCAATTGAATTGGTGAATTGGGTCAAAGAATTGGGACAGCAACTATTTGAAAGCTAAGCAAGGCACAATCAATCCAACAACGAGAATCATGATAAAATAGGCAATTTTGTAGGAGAATAATTCTTATTTCTGACAAGAGTAGCAAATGCCTTTAGTTGATGAAAAGAGTTCAAGTTGAGCATCACAGTATAGACAGAAACTGGATTTACAGAAATTGCATTGCTTGATTGATCCGTTCTATACAAAGTTGTAGACTTTACATTTCTTACAGGTGAAACCTTGTTGAATTAGTTGCCAACAGGATTCACAAATGTGTTTTTAGTTGTGAAACAGGATGTAATGATCAATGAGTATGAGTTGGTGTATATGAAAAGTTATCAATTTCAAAACTATTTGTTCGATATAACAATTTTTGTATTGAGTTTTAATCTCCACAGGAAACAGGAACAATTCTTATTTCAAGGTTCCATGTGGTAATCCGCATAAGGAACAATAATTTTACATGCTTTATTTTATAAAATTATAAATGTTTATCAGATGTACTCATCTCTTTAATAGTCTTTTCTATAAAATTTTCTCATCCTTGGGTATTCGACCAAACTTGTCTTGTACTTACCAATCAAAAATCACTCCAGGATTTGACAGGAATTGCAAGGCAGCATCATTGCCCACAGAAACAGCCAAATGAGCAACAGTCCTGTTATCTTCTGTTTTATATTGAGTGAAATCCCTTTCTCCAGCCTCGTAAAAGAGATTCAGCATATCTCCCTTCCCATTAGCCACATCCAACATGAGGAGTTAAGTCAACTCTTTGATCGGAGCAATCAATTTGCCTTGGAATCTCAAGAGCAATTAGATCATTTGAGTGTTCTTAGCCATGACAGCCTCATACATAGGACTGTGTTTCCATCTATCTACATTGTTAACGATTTCTGGGCATTTCCTGAGGATTAGTTCAGCAATCTCTAAAGAACCCTCTCTAGCAGCTACATGTAATATGCTTCTCTTGTCGTAGTCTTAAGCCTTGTAATTGATTTCCTATTCCTATCAACATAGATCTTACAATCTTTGATAATTTCATTGATGACAACTTCTTCTTCTGTACACATATCTGACACAAGATATTTGGGAACACTAAGTCCTTATTCAGATCAATTTTGGAGTGTTGCTATTTAATGGCAGATGACAAGGCCATCAAAAAGGGTTCAGTCTCAGCTGTCCCCCCTGATTCTGTCAACTCACCTCTTATATTCCTTTGGAATTCATCCTTGACCTTATCTACGTCATCAGTCTAAGCCAATAAATACCCTAGTTTGGTAAAGGCTGCTTAGGATGTCATGTCTCCTCCGCTTATACTAAAGATAAATAATATGATACACTCCCATGTTTTCAAAGATGATGCCTGTCTCATAAATCATCTCTACTTAGGATGTATGACATTGAGAGATGTTGACTATTACGATTCCTCTTTTGGCTGCCTAAGCAATTTCATTACAAAACTTTTCTTCTGTTTGCATGTTGCCTGCTCCGTAAGTCTCTATAACAACTCCCTTCAATTTCTCATTCTTAAATATCTCATTTAAAGTGACATGATTTAACAGAGGATTAAGTCGTATCAAACTTATGTTTGTGCAGAATTTCTTATTCACCTAAAGGGTCTCTTCGTTGGGATTCTTCATGATTATGTCCCATTTAATACTAATATTCACTCCGAAATAGCCCAGAGGTATGAATTTAGGAGAATCAAAAGAATCCAAAGAGGAGGAGTTCACTTTCTAAGCTCTATTGCCTCTGAGCAATTTGTCTTGGAAGCATATTAAGACTTCTGGGATTGTGAAATGGCCAGCTATAGTGAGAGCATTCAGAAAATTAGTAAACCCGTCGTTTCTTGGTTGTGACAAGGGCACTTGACTACCTGTCAATATCACTGTTTTTGATAGATTTTGGAACATGAAAGACAGAGCACTCGCAGTATAGGCCATAGTGTCTGTTCCATGCAATATAATGAAACTATCATATTGTTTATATGCTTTTTCTATCCTCTCCGCAATGGTTACCCAATCATCTGAATTCATGTTTGAGGAATCAAGCAACTTATCTAATTCATCCACCTTAAACCAAATTCTCCTGTTAAAGGCTGTTATGGGAGTGATCAGAAAATCATCAGTCGCCTTAAAATAGGTATAATCCATATCACAAGAGAATGGGTTGTTTTATAAAAAGTTTTTCAATGCTCCTGTTTTGGTAACATATCCAGACGAAGAGGGAAACATGGATATGGTGCCACCTGTATTGAGAATCAACACTTTTCTAGGTTAGTCGCTCAATTTCTCTTTAATTATATCATGATGGTTTTGCATATCAATCACCAAATGCGATTTAATTTTGGTCACATTTTGTGTATCATCTTCATTATACATTTTAAAAATAAATTATTAATATCGAGATAAATCAAAACATTATAAAATTTATTCATATAATCATGAACTAAATACCTCTATATCTATTAAGTCCTATTTAGATTGAACTTTGGTCAATTTGATTTCTTGGTGTTGTCTCGAACTACTTCCCAAGGTGTTATGAGTCTTCTTTATGTTGTAATTGCTTAAACTATGAGGGGATCGTTTCGTCTGTTGATCCTTCTTGGATCCCTTGAGAGTTATGCAATCCATGTCATTGTCATCATCTGCCTCTTCATTCTAAGAATCCAATTATTGCGCTAGTCGATTTTTAAGAGCTGGAGTAATCACTCTCTTGTTATTCTTATTCTTATTCTGCTTGGATTGCCTGGATATCTTTTCTAGTTCAACAAGAGAATTGAAACTATACTGAATTGTTGGTTCAACCATTTTTAATAATCTTTTGTTTAGCGATTATTCAAAATATTTGTTATTGTTCAATGAATGCTCTAAATCGTCACTGTGTTTAAACTGGTGTTCAAAATCCTTGTTGTGTTTGCTCTGATGCTCAAAATCGTCAGTCCCACTGAGATCATTTAAAGCCAAACTCTCATAAGCTTTGTACAGTCTCTTAAACTTCCTCTCTGTGTTGTAGATCTGCCTGCCTCCTAATAGACTTTTGGAACTACTCTTCTATTTGAGCATGTCGTTTTTTTTGTTGGTCAATTCGTTCTCTGATATTTAATCTTCTTGATGTTTGACCTCTGATCTATCCTCACTCACACAAACAACTGGTTTCGGCAAGTAGTTAAATACTTTCCTTTGGGTTTGATTAAGAAAGATGTGTTTGAATTTCTCGATTTCTTAGAGTTTATTCATGACAACCAATATGTCCATATCAGTTAGAATCATCTTCCTTGACTTTTCAAATATTCTGGCTTAATAGTTGGTGGTGCTATTTCTTTTAAATGAACCAGAAACTTATTTAACAATAAAATGTACTCCGAATGATAATTTCTTTTTACTTTCCAAAATTAATTTAATAAATAAGTCCAAGAATTTCTCTTTATCCTTATCCAAATTAGGTTGATGATGATTCTCATGAGATTAATCTAAGGATTTCTCAGATTTCAAATTACCATAATGCACATCATGATTAACAATTTAGACCCTGTGAGTATGCACACTCACATTGTCCTATTCGTTTTTATCGTATTGTTGGGTTGAGGAGATGGGCAACCGTAGAGCAGTTGCAACTCTCGTCATATGAATAACCCTATGAGCACTATGTTTAAATTTTTGAACTACATCGTCAACAGATTTCATAGAGTCAATTATTTTAGTAACCAAAGATTAAAAAGAGAACACCAATTCTCCTTTCTTTTTCTCTGGCATATCAAACTAATACAATGCATTAGCCATCTTAATTTAGAGGCCAGTCTCGTTATATCGAAGTATGAAGTAGCCGAGAACAGTGGCTAGGAACTTGGTGATGCCACCAACGTAGGAGATGAGTTCGTCGACTCGGTAGTATTCCTTGGAGTAATGCATCTCAGATTATGAGAGACGTAAGTAGAAGGAGGCAACATTCGTGATGTTGGAGGTATAAACAGTGTTGGGAGTTAGTTTGTTTTCCACAATGGAAAAGACATGTTCATCTTGCATGTCCTTGATGCCAGGGACGACTGAGTTTTCAATGGTCATGGTTTATTTCTCAAGGTAGATGTCTGTCTTGGTTTCAAGGCCAAGCTTGGTTGAAATGTAGAAATCGGAGTAGATGTAGGAAATGTAATTGGATTCCAGATTTAAATTGGAGACTCGATTGAGCATCAGAGTGTTGATTTTAAAACTATTATTGAATTAGCCCTCCAGTTGGAATTGCTAAATTTCAGAAGTTGAATAACACGAGCTGGTGTTACAAAGTAGGGCTGTTATTCTTCCGTATTAAAACGTATTAGATTTGTAAGTGCCTTCCAAAGTTAGGGTGTAATTGAGGGGGAGACAATAATAGCTATTGAGTTGGTCTTTCAGTATTTTCTAGAGTTAGTAGATAAGTGTTATACATTGTAGATAGTGGATTCATTAAAGTCTTGGAAATGCTTGATTGTACATTTTTCAAGTGGCAATGAGTATTTCTCAGTTTTAGTCAAGGTGCCATTTTCATTCATGTTCTGCTCATATTGAGTATAGATAAAATCGATTAATTGTTTGGTTCCGTCGACAATTGGATCTTCTACTTGGAATGCCATCATGTAATCGTTGTAGTTGAGTAGGGTGGTGGGTGGATCAATGTTTAATACCCGATTGGATGAGATCTCAATAGATTATCGAATAAATGTACAGTGAAGGTTTCCTGTTTTATGAGACTGATAGCTCCCTGCACGAAAACGATGCCCAAAACAACCACCATAAGGATTGTACAAAAACCTCCGAATGGTGATTGATGAGTTTCCTTCTTCCTGAAATTCAACTTCACTTCTGCTCCAAAGGTGTCGAAATATGAAACTCTTTGTATGAATTTTTATATCATAAATTATTAATTAACGTAAGATGCTCAATATATTGTTAATAATCCCATAAATTGATTGGGGATAGTAATTTATTAATATAATGCTAAACATTTGCAATTCTTAATCTGATGATATTATGTCTCACGACATCAGAAATAATGTTGCTGATAAATTCACGACTCCACTGATTTATTTATACTAAAACATTCTTCCTTTTTTTTCAATATTTATTAATTTAATTTAATTACCTTTTCCACAACTTACGTCACTTAATGGCAGATCTCAAGTTGAAAATCAATGCCAGGAGATTCTCTTCACCATATCGAAGCATAAACAACGACCAGAACATCCAACTCTTCCTCCACAACGCACATCGTTCAACAACCAGAAAAAATTCCAATAAACCATCAAGTCATTCCAAATAACTTGATTATTCCTAGGACAAAATCAAAAATTAATACTAACTCCAGTGTATAATCGGAGTAGGAGGATTTGGGAGAGTGTGGAAAGTCATACACAAACAACAAGTCTTCGCAATGAAAGAGATCAATAAAGCCTTAGTGCTGTTAAAATAAAGTGTTCCAAGCATTATGGCAGAATTAAAATTTTTAACAGAATTGCGACATCCCTTCATAGTCAACGCATATTCAGCCTTTCAAGACACCCAAAATCTCTATCTTGTTCTCGATTACCTGAGCGGAGGAGATTTAAGATTCCATCTGGGAAAACAAAGGAAATTTTCAGAAGAACAAACTAGTATTATAAAATAAATTAAATAGAGTTTTTTGTGGCATGCATCACAATTGCCTTGGAATATCTGCACAGCTAAAAAATAATCCATCGAGACATCAAACCAGAGAATCTCATCTTCGACAGTCATGGCTATCTACGCATCACTGATCTCGGAGTAGCAATCAAAAAGCATGCACAATTCCCACAAAATTTCGAGACCAGTGGCACTCCTGGTTACATGTCTCCAGAAGTCCTCTTCCGCTAAGATCATGGCATTCCAGCTGATTATTTCGCCCTTGGTGTCATATGCTATGAATGTATGACAGGTAGACGACCTTATCATGGAACCAGAAAGGAGATCAGAGAGCAAATGCTCCTCAAACAAGTCCAAGTCAATGTGTCAGACTGGTCACCTGAAGCCAATGATTTCATTAACCAACTTCTGTTGATCAAACCACAACTAAGATTGACTCAGCCCAGGACACATCCCTGGTTCAAAAATTATCCTTTTGACTTATTGGCTTCCAAGAAACTTTAAGCTCCTTATCTACCTGTTCGGAAGGACAATTTTGACAAAGCTCAAATTCTTATTGAGGATGAAGAGAATCATCAGATTATAAAACTGAATCAGCATCTGATCAAAGACAATCAACATCTATTTGATGATTATAGATGTCAAATAAATGAGAAGTCCAGAAGGAGTAGCATTACAAATAAGATGTTTTTTTAGTTATTTTGACTTTTTTATCTATCAAACTTTTAAAATTGAAAATAAATTGAAAAAATGATGTACAAAATAATCAAAAAAAGTATTTTATAATTAAAATTATGTTTTAATCATATGTAATTAATCGAAAATTGAAAACTGAGTTCAGTAAAGTCACTCCCTCTGTGAGAATAATGAAGGAGTTGCAGAGGTCCTATGAACATAAGAATTATTCGTTTGAATGTCCCAGTACCTACGATTAACTACCTAAAAAACTTAGATGTCAATCAACTTATTCGAAACTTTGTGGTTTCAGATCTCAGAAATACTAGTTGTTTCATGATGTTGTCTCTGAATTTGCAGAACACAAAAAGTAAAGATTAGCCAATGTTATCATACAAAATCTAAGTAATCACTCCTGTATCAAAGATCCCCAGAAAAATCTAACCTACCCTCCCAAGGTTCAGCTCGTAACCTATTCGCCAAGAGTGGACAGAACATCAATCACAATTACAGCCAATTCATGAAGAAAGTCAAAGATTTCAAAATCTCAGAATAGAACGTCATCACCCAATCCCCATAGTATTCATAACATGCATTTAAACCAAGCTCCATACACGAAAATATGCCTCTTACAAGATAACCCTCAATTGAATAAGTCTTCGACACCAAACAAACCATTACTCTGAGTTGCTCACGAAAACAAAGCCCTAAAATGCTCTTCAGTAATTTTACACCACCTAACCTTTAGAACCTTAATAATTTATATTAAAATCAAAGTTCAAAACTAACAATGCCCTTGAGAAAATTCTGACCGAAGCCAGAAACCAAATCAAAACTTCTTAATCTCCCAGATCTGTCCACATCAGCCAACACAAAAAGACCAAATCTCATCCCACCAATGTTTATACTGAACAAAACAAACTCTTACAAAGAGTCATACTTAAAACTAAGCTGAATTAATGATTTATTATTATAATTTCAATAGTGTTTATAGTAGAAATTGGAAAACAAAGTGTTCTCTTGTTTTCTGTAAACATTCGATTTCGTTAAATTGTACTCATACTGATACTGTGGCTACTTGTTCGACTCCTTTAATCTGAGCATCTTCGTCTCAAATTCATCATCAAACTGTCTCTACTTGTACTCCCGTTCCACATGCTTGGGACTCCCAGTCTTCTTATTGCAATTCGATTCATTTATCAAATCATTGAACACCTATCGTTCAAACGCTCCCAATTGTCTCAGAAAACCATTATTTGGAAATATGATCGTCCTTCTCTTCTCCACATATTCAAGTGCTTCTCGAGCCCCCATCAACTCCTTTTTTACGAGATAAGCCAACACGATAACTGCACTCCTCGATATCCCCATCTAGCAATGCACCAACACATTAGTTGATCTCCTAGAAGCCTCGATAAATCTAAAGGTCTCATCAAAGTGCTTGCTTATTTAATAGCTATCCTCGTCGTCAGCCATGCATTAATGATAAAAATTGAGCTTGATTTTGGTTGACGAAGGGATGCTCTAAGGACACACAGTCAAAATGGCTTTGATTTAATGTTGCGATAAAGTGTATGGGTCACCTAAAATCAATTGGTATCTAATACTTGCAGCTTCCATGTTGCCTAAATAGAGTCCTCCGAGAATTTTCGAAGGTTCAATTATACAAGAAATGGGATCATCCCTTTAACTCTATAACCTCTTAAGCTAACTCATTTAGCAAATAAATTTTATTATTCAATAAAAATAAATAAAATTTTCTTTATTTATTTTGATGTCTTAAATATTGCCATTAAAATTTAAATAAACAAATCATCCACATCCAGTAGCTTAGCCGATTACTCAGTATGGTTGCAATAGAATTTCTTGTTGAATCTTAAAATATTATGAATTGCATGCTCCTCGTGCTTTTGCTTTCTCTTCCTATATTTTGAAATGCTATCATTAAGAAGAGTATGCAGAACTAATTATCATGAAAGAAAGGAATAGAAATAAAGGGTAATCTAAACTTAGAGTACTATAAAAAATGAGAGAGCGAAAGACTTATAATTATTTTATAATTAAACAATAATAACATAATTTCGATGGATCGTAATCTATTCATAATATTAGAGAAAAGACGAGCTATAATAGTTAATTGATGAGTAAAATAAGGAGGAGTTCTCGGATGATTAAGATTTGGTGTCTCATATAGATATTGAGGATTTTGAATCTCGATTACATACCAGTCAATCTTTTGTGAGGGAAAAACCTCCATAACAGAATCCGAGAGCTCAATCTGGCATGACTCAAACTGGGAAACAACCATAGAGTGTTAAGGATCTCAATGAGAAAATGTAGTAAAATCTAGCAAAAAAACAAGTTAATTAATAGACAAGAGTGTAAGCATAATAGAGATCCTCGTAATAACAATAATTTTCACAAACTCAACAAGTTCAGAAGAAGCAAGAGTATTACAACATTTAAAATAATTAAGCAAGAGGAAATCTGTGGAGCCTAGAGCAAACAATCCTCGTTAAGTTTTGGAGCAGGCTCAGAAAGACAATTAGGAGTTACTGTAAAGGTTGGGAGCAATGAAGAGGTAACTGCAATCCTTGGAGGCTGAGAATGCTGAATTGAAACTTGAAATTTAGAGGAAGGGCAATTCAAGTGGTTTTTTGCCAAAGATAGAGTAGGCAGCCAATTCAGAAGTGAAATTGCTGAAGATGGAGAATGAGGAGTTGAAGAGAATCATCTAAAAATAAAATGTATCAGAAGTGCATCATTTTTTGTTAGGGCAGTGATTCTGGGAAGATGTTATAAATGTATGGTTTGCAGGTTGTGAAGTTGAAATGTAGAATAGATGAGTTGACTTAATAACTGGAGAAGCAGTGATATCATTAATATATATATATAAAATAAATCGGATGAGTATATAGGTTCTAAATTATTAGGTTGAAGATTTGGGGTGGTTAATGAAATAGTAAGAAAAAAAATAATTATTAGATCCAAGAAGAAGTGTCAATGGACATTCATGTTGGATAACAACAAACACATATTGGAATTGGAGTTCTCTATTCTGAGTGGAAAGAGAAAATTAGTTTTAGATGGCAGAGTACTTCACGAAAGCATGTAACTGCAATTCTATTCTCAGGATGCTCACTTCCTAGTTTTAATACCCCTTTACTCTTGATGGGTTTGCATTAAGCATTCTTCAACAGGGGGACACATTTGAATTGAGAATTAACAATAAGGACTTCTCTCATCTCTACAACCAAAGTAATTAGCTCTTCTTCCAAAATAGTTAAAACCAATGCGGCTTTTCAGAACGAAGATAATAAACCATATGAAAATCCTTCTTTTGAATCTCACAATTTTGACTTTGAAAACCATCCCAAGTATATTATCAATTCATCATCCTTCATTAGAAAAATGAGCTTAAACTTTAAATTTGAGAACCCAAAAGATGTGTCTCCCATTTATTAAAAAGCATCTACAACTTAATAGATAAAGTAAAGGAAACAAAATAATTCTAGGACATCCACAGCTTTTGGATAACCTGGAGCCTTTGAAGAATTTGAGTAATTTGGTAAGGTGTAAAAGACTGAAAATCCCTTTGGAGATTCCTTTTAGGTTTCAGGATTCACTTCAGCTGATACTCCTTAGACAGTTTAAAAACAAGCAAGTATCTCAATGAATTTAAATAGAAATTGATCTATTAGATATAGATGACGATACACCACAAAAATCACAAACAGTAGATGTAGATCCGTTTTAATAATAATAAAATTCTTAATAAACATAATAAACAGGACTATTTGATGCTTTTGGCACTGGTTGGAATTAACAACAGCCGCAATAAGGTTAATAAAACCTGCTTTAAGAATCTAATAAAAGTTCACAGCCATTTGAGTACTTGATTATTCAAATTTAGTGCCTTTAATTTAGTTGGATCAGTAGGACAAATTGGATCAGTACCTGCACAATAAGGATTTTCTAATCAGTAAGGGGGATTTCAATCTTTTGATTAACGATTTCCAGAGCCCCAGAAATAAGAACAATTAAAGATCTTAAATCTATACAGGAATCAACAACCTGTAGTTGGTAATTTGGCTTATTCAGCATTTCCTTAAGTTTATACACAACCAATGGTTTAATAATAGCCAACACCATTTGATCTATTCAGATGAGTTGAATATTCTGAATAATAATATAAATATTCAAATTTAAAAAATGGAATTGTTAAATTACGCTGCCACAATTATCCAAAAAACATTCAGAGGTTTTCTTGCTCGATAGGCTGTAAAATAAATAAGGAGAATAAACTATTTTTCATCATATGGTATTTCAATTATAATAATTAGACCATCATAATGAGTATGGGTTTTGCATTTAGCCTTAAAGATCAAAAAAATCTACTCGCAATGCTCAATCACTCGTGTAACCGACTAAAAGAATGATAAGAAGCAGCGTCTACATTTAGAAGTGCTATCGAGGATACTTAAGTAGAAAATACGTTTGCAATTTTTACAAATTGAAATAGATCGTATTATTTTTAGAAGGACACATTCACAATTTCTTGAGGAAAGTAAGATGGTTCTGATATTAGAGAATTTAATAAAGGAAAATCCATATAAAGTAATTGATGGCGTAATGTTACAATTTTCAAACTCAATGCAAATCAATAGCAAAAGGCAGATATAATTACAGTAAATTCATGAATCAGAAATAATTTGATGAGATAAATGGCATAATATTTACTTCCTTTCTGCATCTTATGATACCTAACTTTGAGAAGTTGAATTCAGAACAGAAGTCCCATTATGTAGATTAGATCTTGGGAGTGGTGTAATCACATCCCCCCAGAAAAACAATGCCAACTCAAGTCAGTTCGAAGACGCCCTTGAAGTAGAGACACATCATTTAGAATGTGAGTGTTTTGTCTTCTGAAGTATTGACAAGTAATGGCAGTTGCACTTCCAGTCATAAATCCAAGTCGAATTTAACAAATGAGGAGTTTAAATCAATTTTACAAAGATAGAATAAATAAATCAAATGATCTAATTTTTATATATATATATAATTTTGGTGACTCTAAATTGAATACATATAGAATAAATTTGGGATTGAAATTAGTAATGATAAAGATATCATCATAAATCATTCTAAATAGATAAATTCTGCTCTACAAAAAGGGCAAATTGATTAGTATTGAATCCAATTTTAGATGCACTGTTGATGGAAGTAGTGTTTAGAATTGCAAGGGAGGATGTATACAATTTCACCCTTTTGGTAGTCATTGAGGCAAATAGCACATTGGGAAGTTGACTAATCGAAGGAACTAGGATTGTAGGGCTTAATGTGTTTTTTTCGTCTGCAATAATTTAAAATGGATTTTGGAAAATAGTAAAATGGAAATGTGAACAGTGCAACGAGATCAAAGCCTGTGATGAAGGATGTTATGACGATGAATGTCAAATACTGCCATTGATAAATGCGTGTTTAATCGAAGTAAAGAATAGTTAAGACAATGGCTGCCAGCCAGAAAAATATCGGAATGAAAAAGAAATAGTTTGAATACATCTAAGTTATTTGACAGTATTTACATGAATTCGAAAGAAGTACCCTAATTGTAATTGCATTTTGAAATCAATCGAGTAGATTGTATACCTGTAATCTCTATTTAGGTGTATAACTTATACAATAATGCATGTCGACTTCTTCAAACCATCCTTAATTGACCACTTGCTATTGGTTTAAGTATCCAGCGCAATTTATTAGGTTATTCTATGGATGAAAATATAAAAATACTTTGTTTTTCATGGCCCATCTCCATCTCAAATACACAACTATTTGAACAAGGTTTTGTGCACCCACAATAATTGGCACATAATCGCCATTGATGTGATAATTGTTCTCTGAGATGTAGCAAACTCCAAGTAAGGTCGAGAGGATCAAAAAAAAGAATTAGAAGATTGTCCATCTTTTCCAATACAAGATGTGTCGTTGGAAATGCAAAGTTGCTCCGACATGTCCTCCTTAATCAAGAACCAATGGTTGATTCATTACAAATTATAATTAATAGTTGCTTAAATTACAACATCAGTTTTGAATAATATGATTAATTAAATGTTAACAATTATTTAAAATATAAAAGTTCCTATAACTCACTTCTTCTTTCCAACTGTTTTGGCTAACCAATCCAAACCATCATATAATCCATCTCCAGTGAGAGCACAAGTACCTTGGATGTACCATTCTCTTCTGAGGGTGTGTAAGCCCAATTTCTCAGTGATTTCAGGGACTGTCATTACACCCATATCTTGTTTATTGGCGAAGACCAACAAGACAGCGTCTCTGAGCTCGTCTTCACCCAACATTCTCATCAATTCCTCTCTAGCAACATCGACTCTCTCTTTGTCGGATGAATCAACTACGAAAATCAGACCTTATGTGTTTTGATAGTAATGTCTCCATAAGAGTCTGATTTTGTCTTAACCTCCAACATCCCACACTGTGAATTTGATATTCTTGTATTCCACAGTCTCTACATTGAATCCGATGGTTGGGACTGAGCTCACAACTTCTCCCAATTTCAATTTGTACAAGATGGTTGTTTTACCTGCTGCGTCCAAACCCAACATTAGAATTCTCATTTCCTTCTTTCCGAACCATTGCTCGAACAATTTAGAGAATGAAAGACCCATTAATTTCTTAAGTTAATAATACAATCAAAAAAGATGGAATTACAATTTAAATTTCCAAATTTTCCTTGTCAGAAAAAATCGCCAATCACTATTTATAGAACTATATAAATAATTATTCTACTGTGGAATAGAATAATTATTCGTAATTATATATAGATAATTAATTTAATGTTCTACACATACAAAAGTCTTTTAGATTTTCATATCCTGTTTGTTTTCGTGAGGATACATCTAATTAAATAGTTATTTAGATAATTCCTATATTAAATATAGAATAACTTGAATAAATCTAACCACAAGAAATTCATTATATTTTCGAATATTTCTAAACTATTCTCTTCTTGAAGATTAGATATATTGAAATTGTTCAAACTATTTTAATTTCTGCAATTATTAATAATGAAGATATCTAATTATAAATGTAATCATCCTAAACTTTATGAGTAATTTAAGAATGTAACGTTATTATTGTCTTGTATAGTTATCCTTTTCTCTATTTTTTCTTATAAGGCTTCAACTAATTATATTACAAAACCCATTAAATTTACATCATTCCAACATTGGCACTTATGAAAAATTTGAAAATGTTTGTCATTATTTATGCATGTAAACAGACCATAAACCCTAATTCTGGGCAGATTGGCATTCATTTGCAATAATTATGAACTATATTCGTCATTGAAGTGATCAAAAGCAAAAACTCAGTTTTCAATTTTAGGAGATAAAAAAATCTAAGCAGTTTTAAGAACTAAAGATATGAGACTTAGATTTATTGCTCGAATGAAGAATTTTGATGCAAACAACAAATTTGATGAATTATATAAACATTATTATTTTTTACAATAAAGCTTCTCATAATCCTAACAAATATTAGTGAAAATTTAAACATCATTAACACGAGATCATATAACCAACACGCAAAGAGAACTAACATCATAGTTTAGATGTCCCTGTTTGAGTTTCTGTACTATAGCACTATAGTACAAGCATCTCATTAATGATCCTAATGTGCAGATATCCATGAATAAATGCATTTTTATAATCACAAATACCAAGGTTGACATCAGATAGAAAGGTTAAGCTTTATCAGGAATTCATGTTCTTTTCAAACACTAATTTTTTATGCAATCTTCCTATATATCCGAGTGGTAATTTTTGAAAGGTTCTTTGTAATTAAGGATTACAATATCACGAAAAGGCAACTTTACATGATTCATTTTTTATCCAAAATACCATTACGATCATGAAATTCTTTTGTATTTCAATTAATCTTTACTAATACTACATTTTTAAATTTGACAATAGATTACTCTATATTATTAGGTGTATCAATAGAGGATTTATTCGAAAGAATTTCTTGATCATTTACTACTTGACCTATTGGATTTTAAGCCTTTAGAATACAACTTTAATGCAGAAGAACAGCTTTTAATGTATATATACATCAGTTAAGCTTAGAATTAATCAAGATTGTTGAATAAGAATTCTATGTTAAGAGTAAATCTATTTTAAATTACTAATTTTTTACATAAATCAATATAATATGTGTTAATTCTTTATTTAAATTCAGTTTGATGATTTGGGACATAAAAAAAAAATATCCAGGCGCTACGATGAGCGTAGAAATGGCTCAGAAATTATTGCCATAAATTCGCTTGAATAAGTTAGAATTGATCAGAAGTTCAGGAATAAATTTCCTCCTTTAGATTACCAAATGATTATAAATATATTAATAATAAAAATGTCAGACGATTAAATACCAGAGGAACTTTTCAATGAATAGATAAGTGTTGCACCTTCTTTGTATACACACAGTTCCATCATTTAAGATATACAAAACAAAATGATTCAATAAAGTTCTAAAATCCAGAATGATCCAGTCATTCTAAAGACTTCATTAACAAATGATATATTCAAGGAAGACAATTTGGACATTTCCTAATTTGACCCAAATAACCCTAAATACAAAAGCAAGCCGCATGAGGTCCTTTTTTAAGTAAACTCCTTTATAAAATATACTTTCTTCTCCTTATTATTTACCATACTAGGACCTTTGGTTATTCCAATATTTATTTGGACTCATAAGCAATTACTATATAACTTTCAACTATTGGGATTGAAATGGACATGTCTATTGGCCTATCTTCGATATGCGTTGGACTTGGCTTTGATTATAGGCTTTATATATCATCCAATGAATTAATTTTAGCTTCAATGTAATAACTTCATTCTAATCTCAATAGTGCTCCTGTATTTTGTAGTCCAATTATTTTCAGAATTGGTTCTCTAAAACTTAATGTTGGCCTTCTACCATCCTTAGAAGATAGAACTGTTAGAAAAGTTTCCACTTGAAGTCATACTGAATAAATTTGAAAATCAGATCAATCCACTTCGATGGTGTTAGTAGAGCCCAGAATTAATTTAATTTGAGTTGGAACAGTCTATAAGAAGGTTGCATATTGAACCTGGATTATTCATTTTTTTCTTTATAGTTCAACCGAATGAAAAAAGAAGGGAAAAGATCTCTCATAAATTTGAGAACTTGAAAGTGGAAGGCAAGTATGCTGGAAATGGGATAAAAATGGCAATAGAAATAATTCAATATTACAATGAGTCATCTCCCTTATACATGTACGGCATAATCGCCTGTGGTTTCACAATCATTCGATTATGCATCACAATTACATATTAATTCTTTTAACATGCAGCCCTCATGTAGATTATCATGTTTATAGCAATCACAGCTCTTAACACTTTTGGCTACTTTACTGTAATAAGCATCATTTTAGTAACATTCAGAGACTTACAAAGGAAGGTATTTTGCTTGAATCAACTATCTCATTTAATTTCTGCTTAACAAGTTGAAGAATATGATGAGACAAAAATATTCCCCACTTTAAATTTCCTATGTGTGCAATCCTTGTTTTCATGGTAGAATTTACGAAAGGTAATCCTTGATTATGGTCTACAATACTATCAGAGAGAAAACGCAATCATCTCATTCTGCTTAGAAATAATTTTGGTTTTAGTTCTATTTGCGCTTTTAAACATGTTCAATGTGATAAGTTGTTACTCCTTGGGCGACTCAAGCAAATTTTCTTTGTTCATTTTGATTAGCTTTGATGTACTTACAATTATGTTCCTATCCATTCTTGTCGTCCTGTAAGGGGCTCGTATCAATAAACATTTTTAAATTCACCAAACCATGTTAAAGAAAAACATGTTTACTTACTAGCAACTTTCAACGTAATCATTCATTAAGTAGGAGTATCATGTGCAACCTTAAGATTTTATGTTTAAAACACTTAAATCTATACTCGATAGAATACAACTGGGAGATCAAAATAAAAACTGGTTTTTCTTGTATTCTTAATATGTTTTGAATGCAATTGATTAGGCATATTCAGATTTGTGCTATGAGGAGGAGAATAAACCATTTACTGTCTTGGGAATAGCTATGACATATAGCTTAGCATTATAACTAATAGCAAGTTTTCTAGGTATCCTGGGAACCATAATCATAAGTTTATACTTCAATGTTGATTTATGAATATGCGTAATTTTTATTTATATTCTCCTCATAAATTAAGACTTTTATTTTAGTCTTCATTTAATTGCATTAACTTATAATCATATAACTTCTTTATCTTTCCTGAACATGATTTTTGATAATGAAATGTCATTAATTCTTTCTATCTTTGAGATGATTTTATGGTAAAAATAAGAGTAGATCTTAGAATTCTCATAGAATGTTCAGTTCTAATTTGAATTTGATATGGGAATGTTCTGATGAACCAGTGAGTTGATTATGTATATTAACAATATGATGAAACACAATTAAAGGTATAATTTGTTTATTATGAATTTGAAAGAATAAATAAATAAAATAAAATTATTAATTACACGTTAAAGAATTTCTAGAAGAATTCTCTTTGTATATAAATTGATTATACACATCATTTAGAAATAATTTATTATGAACAAATTGTTACTTGCCTTGCTCCTAGTTTCTGTATCAGTATGCGAAAGCTCTGTTTAATGCCCAGTTATTGGTATTGACTTGGGTACAACTTACTCATGCGTCGGAGTGTTCAGATAAGGACATGTTGAGATCATTCCAAATGAATTAGGAAATAGAATCACACCTTCAGTTGTTTCCTTCACAGATCAAGAAAGATTAATTGGAGAGGCTGCTAAAAACTAGGCTGCCACCAATCCCAGTAGAACCCTTTATGATGTCAAGAGATTGATCGGAAGAAAGTATGTATCAATATGAATTTTCAAGATTCTCTGATTCTACAATTCAATATGATAAGAAGTTCTTGCCATTTGATATTATTGATAGAGATGGAAAACCATACATCTAAGTAGAGAAGGGTACATAATCAAAAGTGTTTGCTCCCGAAGAGGTGAGTGCAATGGTGTTGTCAAAGATGAAGGAAATCGCTGAGGGTTATTTGGGTCAAGATGTTATCAATGCAGTTGTGACAGTTCCAGCATACTTTAACGATGCTTAAAGATAAGCCACAAAGGATGCAGGAAATATTGCAGGTTTGAATGTAGTTAGAATTTTGAATGAACCAACTGCTGCAGCTATTGCTTACGGTTTAGATTCAAAGTAAGTTGAATCAAACATCTTGGTTTTCGATTTGGGAGGTGGTACCTTTGATGTGTCCATTTTAACTATCGATAATCAAGTGTTTGAAGTCATTTCCACATCAGGAGATACACATTTGGGAGGTGAAGATTTCGATTAAAGATTAATCGATCACTTCATCAAGTTGGTCTAAAAGAAGTACGGAAAGGATGTTTCAGGAGACAAGAGAGCAATCTAAAAGTTAAAGAGAGAATGTGAAAAAGCCAAGAGAAGACTCTCTGCTGCTCAAGAAGCCAAAGTGGAAATTGAAGATTTGGTTGAAGGATTAGACTTCAGTGAAGTTTTGACAAGAGCTAAATTCGAAGAATTAAACAGCGATTTGTTTAGAAAGACTATTGAGCCAATGTAGACAGCCTTGAATGACTCAGGACTAAAGAAGAGTCAAATCGATGAAATCGTACTTGTTGGTGGTTCATCTCGTATTCCAAAGGTCAGATAACTCGTGAAAGAGTTCTTTGAAGGAAAGGACCCAAATACAGGTATCAACCCAGATGAAGCCATTTGTTATGGTGCTGCCATCCAAGGAGGTTTGATCTGCGGTGAGAAATCAGATGCTACTGATGGTTTAGTTGTTATTGATGCCACACCCTTGAGTTTGGGTATCGAAACAGTCGGAGGAGTCATGAATAAGATTATTCCCAAGGGATCCTTCATTCCAACTAAAAAGTCTCAAGTCTTCACAACCTACATTGACAATTAAACTACAGTTACAATCACTGTTTTCGAAGGAGAAAGACCTTTGGTAAAGGACAATCACAAATTGGGACAATTTGATTTAACTGATATTCCCAAAATGCCTAAGGGATAACCTCAAATTGAAGTTACTTTCGAAATTGATGAGGACGGTATCTTATCCGTTTCTGCCTCTGAATAATCAACAGGAAAAAAGAACCAAATCTAAATCACTGCCGACAACAAGTTGACAAAGGAAGAAATTGACAGAATGATCAAAGAAGCTGAATAATTCGCTGAAGAAGATAAAATCGCCAAGGAGAAGATTGATGCCAAGAACAGTTTGGACTCCTACATCTATTCCATCAAGAACTAAATCGAAGATGAGGTATTGTTTATCTCTAAGCATTTTAGAAAAAATTAGCCAAACACTTGACTGAAGAATAAAAACAAACCTTGAAGGATGCTGTTCAAAAGAGTGAAGTTTGGATTAAAAAGGATGAAGCCAACTATGATAAAGAAGATTTTGAAGGAGAATTAAAAGATTTATAAAAGTAATTAATATTTTCTAAACTGGTAGAGTTTGTGATCCAATCATTCAAGAAGCCCAAAAGAAGAAAGATGAAAACAAAGAGAATGAAGATGATGCTGATGATACAAAAACTGATTTATGATTAATGTGTGCAATATTTTATTTTAATGAAAGTTGTATTTCAAATCTGCATCATTTCCTTACTATTGACTACCTGCTATGCATTCAATATTCATTAATATGCAGCTATGCTACCTGGTCTCAAACTACCTCCAAACACCAAAACTAGAGTATTGGTAATTGATACTTTTGAAGACTTCCTATGGGCCAATCTATATGTAGGGTATTATCAACAACATTTCAAATTAGCCTCTTCTACTACTTTTCATATTTGGCTACTGGAGCAGCTCTAGAATTTACTAACCCAATACCAAAGTCAGCCTTCAGAGTGAAAAACATGAAACTCGAAATCAGTAGAGGAGTCTAAGCCTTATTCTGGGTACTACTCTCGGCCACCATTTTCATGTGGAAAATCGAACCCCTAACACCATATTATGGATATTATGAAACACACGATTTTGGATTGAAGGAATGGCTCATTGGACTTTTTGTGTATCTCTATCTTCTATTCATTAGATATTCCATTGGATTCGATTTCTACTTTTACGTCACTCATATCATCCTCCATCAGCCATTCTTTTGGAAATACATTCATAAACAACATCATGAATTTATTGAACCAACAGCATTTGCTTAAGATGCAGTCCATCCAATTGAAGCCATTGTATAAGGCCCATTAGGACATTTCTTCCCATGTCTCTTCTACCCAATCCCTCCGGTTTGGCATCAGTATGTTAAATCATCTTATAATTAGCTTTTTTGGTTTTTTGACTGCTGTCTATGCCTAAGCTGCTCATGATGGAAGATGGGACCCATTCGGACATATTAATCACCATTTCTATGTCACCTGCAATTATGGAATTTGGGGTGTGTGTGATAGAATATTTTAAACAAATCATTCCTCATCAAGATTCCCTGTTAGATATGTTCCAAGCTGGGAGAAAGATGCAAAAAAAATTAAATGATCAACTTAAATGATTCACAAATAAATCAACATTCCGTTAATCCACTCATATTTATCAGTTGTATTGTTCCAATTGGATATTCCTAATCCTTATTCATGGTATTATAAGTGATGTCTACTTCATTCGGCAAATATCCCTCCTTCTAAAAAATAAATATTCCATTAAACTAACCATTAATCAATGGGTTTTCAGCATACAATGTGAAGTAACCTTCTCCATCACTTAATGTGGAATTAATTAATTATTTCGCTGTGAATTCGATATAATATAATATCTTTACACTCTCGATTGCATTTTCCTACTTATCTGTGCATTATAGACCTTGCATTTCCAACACTCTCCCAGTGAATTTAGTACTCGATAAGGCCTTCTTCTTTATCACTTAAGGGCTAAAGTTGAAATCAGTTGTTATATTAGACTTCTCTTTCACTTTGAATACAGAATATAGTATCCCACAGTTAGGGTTCATTATCATAATACCACAAGAGTACTCAAATCCTTCTTTAAATGCCTTATCTAGTTAAATCACATTAACATCCTTCTACGTCATAAATTAATCTTTGTATTCAGTTCCACATGAAAATGAAATCTATACTACATTTGAATTCTGAATTTATGTCTAATTTTCTTAGCAATTTCTGTTGATATTAACTTACAAATTTACAAGATAGTAATTCGGTTTCATGAAAATCTATCCAAGGTCTGCATTATATGAGTCATATAATTAAACAATTTGTTATTATTTAAAGTAACCCTATAAATTGATTGATATTGAGGCTTGATATATCAACAATTTCATTAACTTGTTTTTTGCTAAAAAACAACCATCCTACCCAGTTTTAATTTCTTATATATCCAAAAGAGTGGGCTAATCATAAACTATGCTTATTGTAGTATCAGAAACTGGTAATAAATTATCACTTTATATCACACAACCTTAAATACTTGTTTTCACACTTTCGTTATTGTCCAATAATATTCTTCCTAAATTTACAGGGCAATCATCTCTATTTATTTCAATTTACATTGTGAATTAATTTGCAATGTTCAAACTTAGCTATCCTTATACTTCATTTGAATCTATTTCCAATTCAAATTCTCCTTTTTTATTACTAATCGTTTGACTGTTTTTGAATGATACAACCACATTATTTGCAGGAAAAGACTTAGGTGTGTATAAAATCCCAGTTATTTTGCATCCATCCGATTTCGAAACTAATAAATAAATCAATATTTTAAATATTAACATTATATGTTAGATTAATTAATTCATTTATAATACTTGCAAATTTGAGAAGCTCAGCATTATGACACTATTAGGCGATTGGTTCATTACTTTGCAACATTTTTTTTTACTAGACTAAATCCACATACTTTTTTGCTGCCTATCAAATAACAAATTCTTTGCTCATAGTGAATCTCTTTTAGTATAATTATAAAACTGCTTACCCTTAAATAATTACACCATTGAGAAATTCTCTTACAAAGTAAATAGTTTTATGATAATATAAATCCTGAATGTCTTTAGATACGTTTTTATCGAATAACAGAAAACTATATCTCAATAATTTTAAAGAATGTTAATTTGATTTTTGCATTCAAATTATTTTTATTCTTCTGGTTTAATACTCAAGTTTTTATTTTATCCCCTCAAAATAGTTTCGTTGATCTGAATTTATTATGAAAATCAATATTAGAAAACATCAAACTTATTATTTTTCGAAAACAGGGAATATATAGAAATTACTAAAATAAATACTAGGATGATGATGATAAATAGTGCATCAAAGGGTAGGATAGGTTAAATCGCTTGTTATAGAGCTACTGCTCTCCTTTGTGAGTAACAGATTAAGCAATTAACTTATGACTTCTTTTTGACTATATAATATCTTGTTGAGAGGCAGTAATGCAACATAATTTAACTTTATTTATTTAATTAGGGGTTTCTATGCAAGGTGTTATTTAGCCTGTTCACCTTATTAATAATTTAGAGAGATTTGTCAATATAGTATTAATTACAGTATGGAATAAGTTCCTCCTTGTTGCTCCAAACCCTTAGGAGTCAAAGTTTTATATTCAATAAAATAGATAGTATATGCACAAGTTGCTATATTCTCTGAATTGTATCTAGTGAGTCTCCTATAATCATTATTTCTCTCTTTAGAAATACTTGTTGCTCTTTTCTAAATTCTATCAATGTGATATTAGCTTCCTATATCTAGCATGTAATAGAAGCTATCTTTTATTATTTTTTCTAACATATTGCGAATAATGAGATAATTAATAATGATTTCATTTATTTATAATTGTGATCTAATCCATATTCTAATAAATCTAACAGAACAATGGCTGGTTGTACTATTAGATTGGTAATATTACATTAATATGATCGAATTCTGAAAGATTTTGCATTTTGTGTTTGCTTAATAAAAAATATAAAAGATACATTTGGAATCTGTCTAGTACTTAAACAAAAAAAAAGTAATAGAAATCCAATATTTTAATTAAAGCAAGTAAATAGCCTTTATCAAATAATTTCTTGCTTAAGAAAGCTACTCATAGGCTTCATGTTAAGAAAGCTTTGAATGCTTTTTCCTTTAGTGTGATACTGTAAAAATTGACAAAGAAGAAAATTTCAGATTGCCTTCGATTTCTTTCAAAAGCAAAAACTCAAAAAATAATTACTTAATACAATTATTAAGCGAAGCTATGAGATGAGAAAAACCCTCAAAGAAGTCAACTATATGATGAAAAATATTTGATGAACAACTTAGACAACATTACTATTCTCAAGAAATTTAATTTCAAGTAATGAAAACTAATTAAAACAATAAAAATAATCAAATTTTTGGAATTCTTTAATTTTTCTTTGAGGCATAGAAAACAGATTAATATGTTTTGGAAGTGAAATTTCATCTCAGGGAGAATGTCTCAAAAATATAAATTTAATTGAATCTGAATTTGAAGATGTTAGCAGAAGTTGAATGAAGTTTAATGGAACATAATTATTTAATTATAATTGGAAGAAATTTAAAATACACGAATCAAATAAATTACAGAGTTTTATTAAAGAGTTAATTAAGTTTGCTTTTCTCCTGATTGCTCTTCAATAGAATGTAGCAATATTGATAACTTTATCCATTTATTGGATGTTAAACCAGGAGAATAAAAAGCCAAATTAGTTGATAATATTAATTGGGCTTTTTCGATATGCTTTTCACCTAATTCTACTACATTAGCATCTGCAATAGAGGATGGCTATATGTCAGAAGGGAAACAAATGTTTAAATTAGATGGACCTAATCGAATTGTCCAATCAATATGCTTCTCTCCTTATGGTATTATATTAGCATCTAGTAGTAAGGATAACTCTAATTAATTACTGGGTGTTAAGACAAGAGAAGCATACAGGTTGGGCATAACTATTATATCAATCTAACTTAAATTTTTGTTCTCATTTGATTGCCTCCCTGTTGCCCCTTACCTGGTAGTTGAGATAATTCTATCAGTATATATATGAACATAGTTGATAAATTAATACAAATTTTCAAAATTAATTTATTAAAAATTTTATTTTTCCAGAAGAGAAAGTACAAAATTAATCATTCTATACTCTAATGAAATATATATTTCTAAATAAAGTATTTTTGTCTCTTACTGCGGAATTTACAAAGCTTTTCTTCTACCTTAATGCTTAGCATAGATAATCTTCTATTTTTAGTTAAGTAATGCGATAACTTATTAAGAAAAAATAAATAGAAATTCATAGTAAATTTTGTTAAAATAATGATTTACCATTTATCAGCAATAAATAATTTGAATGAATGAAAATTAATCATATTTCAAAATCATAACTGAAAATACTAAAAATGCACAATTTTTAGATTCTGACTTATAAAATTCGTATAATTGTTTTTGGAAGATAATTAAAGTATTTGGATAAACAAGAAAGGTGCTTTATTTGAAAAGGTTGGAAATGACTGCTAATTTCGAAAATGAATAAAGAAACAAAAGGGATTATATTATTACATAAGCAAGCAAATATATATCCTTTAAGGTTATATAAATTAAATGAATTAAATTCGTTTTGTCTGAAGATTCGCATAAGATTTTAGTTTTAAAAGAAGCCACTGATAATAAATATTGAGATTAATCATTTATGTGAAGAACAAATTTTGCAGATGAAGAAAAGATCATCCATTTTAAAAAAAAGATGAATTTAGATCTAAGAAATAATGCTTTGAGAATATTAGGATTTAAGATACCTCATTAAAAAAGAATTAATTTTGTAAAATGTGATTTGAGTGAATCTGAATTAAAAAATTCCATGTGTGGATTGAATTTATTTAATTGCAATTGGAGGAATGTAAAAATACATTAAGCAAATAAATTGATGATCATCTTAAACTATCATTTCAATATGTTTCTGTTTTGATTGAATATACTGCATCTAGTTTAGATAACCCTTTTCATTTTGGTATATTGAGATAAGAAAATTAAAATACAAATTAGAAAATTATTGTTGTTCTTTGGATTCTTTATGCTTCTCATCTTATGATACTGCATTAACAGTTGGAATTTTGATCACTAACCTGTTCTTGGGGTCCAATAACATTTTGGTAACGTTCCAAATTAGTAGATTATAGATATTTTTCTTGATCAGCATACCTGTATACTACTTTATGAGTTTCTAGATTTTAAGACAGGATAATAAAAAGTCAATAGGATGATCATAGTGGTACAATCAATTTAATAAGGCTATCAGTTTATGGGATGTCAAAAATAATAATTACTATTAGGTCAAAGTTATTAAGATAGTCTTGCATGTAAGATGGCACTAATTTTCAATAATTAAGTTTCAATTAATATTACTATTTTTCTTTTCTCTTAATAGCTGATATTTTAATCATATGAAGTTTTAAACTGTAAAACAATTTATAAACTAAATTATTTAAATAAGATGATGCTACACTTTGGAAAGCTAGATAGATGGAAATTTAATTTTGAAAAAATTAATAGACACTCATTATTATAATCCTGGAGAAATTACATCATTTATTTCAAAGACAGTTAAAACTTACTCTTTCTATTTAGATTACAGTTATTATTAATAAAACTGTAAATTATGAATATTAATGATTTCTAATGGATTTTAAAGTAATTGCTCCCTCTTTTGTACGTTAGTAATGCAAAAATAGTGAAAATTGGGTGAACTTCGAATATTGGATTCCCTTTCAAAGGATAGGATTTTGGGATATCACAAGACTCCTTAGTGAGATTTAAATGCTGCTGATAATAATTGAATTACAAATTTTTTTTTTAAATTACTAAAATAATATTAAGCGTTAGCTGATCAGTAAAATATATTCCTATAAATACTTTTAAAAATTTTATTACGCAATAATTCAAAAATTTAATATAAATTCTCTTAATTTCATAATTCAACAATTTGCTCTTTTTATTAGTCATTTTATTATCGTTATTCATGTTAACAAACCCAATATATTATTATACTAGAATTATGTATAAGGTGAATAACCTAAAATTAGTTATTTATGCTATAAAAAATTATGATATTATTGATTGATAAACTCGATATAGTAGTAAGCACATTGAAGATTATTATTAATAAGTAAACAAAAAGAGTGGTGAATAAAAACTTGAATTTTTACTTATTGAGCAAAAATACTAAAAGTAAAGGTTTCCTTCGTATGAGTCTAGGCTGTAGACCAGAAAATGATATTACCTATAAGACATATGATCCAGCCTTTGCTTTATTACATAAAACATCATTTTGAATGTGGTGTTTTTCTAATAAAAAGCTTCAATAAAAGAATTGAAAAGCAGAATTATATATAATCAACTAACTAAAATCCTCATACCTTAAAATGAAGTAATAGAAAAATATGGTGTTCTAGTATTTGCACAACTTTATTTACCTAAAATTGAATAAGCTGAGTTGGAAAAAACTTTGAACAGCATATTGAGAAATATGGACCTGTGCAATATAAAATCGTTAGATGCATTTGTTTAATAAAAAGTTATCAACAAAATTATTAGCTACTGAATTAATATAGATTAGGGAGGCTAATGTCTTATTGGATTATAAATTTGAACTAGAAGTAGTTTAGATAATATATCAAAAATGATTAAATTTAACATAATGAAAACTTCACGAGTCTTTATTTCTGCATATCATTTAGCAGAGAAGAAGGAAACAATCTGTAGAACTAGCAATTTTTTTACAATAAGGAAAAAAATTAATCTA